GGCGAAGGGCGACCTGGAGCAACTTTTGGTTAGTAATCTGATTATTTTGTCATTTTGCTTAATATTTATTTATTTTAAAATGTAACGTCAGTACGCCATATTAAGTTAAGTTAAATGCATAATATTAAGAAGTTATGTAAAATTATATTCAAGAACTTATGAATTTATACCCAATAAGTATTTGTAAGGAAATATTATTTATTGCTAACTAAATGATAGTTAAGATTAGTAATTTAACTTAAACATCTAATCTAAGTCGAAACAGCTAATCTAATTTCAAATATCAAGTGTTCAACGATGATTCTCAGAAATCGCTTACTGTACCTTTAATGGACTGAACTTGCTATGAAAACACAAATGTGACAAGCAAGACATGATAAGCAAATTTATTTGTACACAACTTTTTTCTGCAAAATAAGTAAATCAAATAACTAACTCAATTGACTGAAAAAAAAGCATTTAAAAATAAATTCAAAATCGTTTCAGATACCAAAACATTTTCTTGTTCTCATCTCTTCAGTGCTCTGCGAGGATCCCGTCCATTAGTTATGGTGGCACTGTGTTTTGAGCCCTGACCTCTACTTGGTACTGAAGAAGCAGTGCCACTCTTCCAATGGTTGCGGTTCAAATGACGCCCACCTTTACCAAAGGAGGTCTCTCGGGGGACAGGAGAAGGAGAAAACACAGCAGAGCCGTTGGCTGGGAGGGGCAGAGAGAATGGTACATATTTCAGCTTATTCTGGTCAAGAATCCCCTATTTATACAGAGAGAGCCATCTGACTGACATGTTAAATGAGCAACCACAGCTTATTTTGTTTTTATCCATTTAATCGTTAAAGTTACACTATGCAACTTCTTTTGTTAAAGATTTACAACATTTATATACAGTAATTAGCAAGTACATCACGAATCCATCTTCCAAAACATGTTTTTGTCTTATCCTGAATCGCAATGGTACACCTATTCTAAGTGTTTATATTCAGACTATTTGAGACCGAGTGTGAACCAAAAGTTAGTGTACCATTAAGGGAACAAATGAAAATAAGAAATATGATTCCAGCCTATATCTTGATTTTGAGCAATTTTAGCTTATTTTTAAACAATTTTAAAGGCCCCGATATTCCTCAAGAGAAATCGAAGAATGAAGAGGTGTGATGTCATCTCGAAACAAATTAGGCTTGCGAAATCAATCCTTTTGGAAACGTTCAGTACGACTGGTAAACCCATTCAAACTACCATTGTTCCATGCCGAGTACATAATATTTAGGTGTGGATCTGAGGCTCCACCTACTTTGACGTGGAATTTTACTCAGTTTATTTCGTCAGACGTCTACAGACTGCGAATAAAAATATGACCACACTGGAGAACTGCTTTATAGTAGAAACTGAAGTTGTAATTCTAATTGAGAGGACACTGTTTTTCACATAAGCTGCTTGTTAAAAGCAATCTATTGTACAAATTGCTATGTAAATAAATGTGACGTGACTTTACTGGAGTGCCGAATTATCGCTATGATCAGATGCTTTCTTGCCTGCTATTTTCTCACCGCTGTCATTTTTTAAAAGTTTATTTTGTTATTGAGATCAGCACTTCTAGATCCATCTAAATGCCACTCTCAACAGGCGTCGGGATGTTCGCTAACAGTATATTGCTGCAAAGGTACTTCAAACTTCTATAAGCAAAGAACGAAAATGAACTTCACGCTGAGTTTATCGGGCCCTTATGCCATCTTGCAGGCCCTTGGAAATATGCTGAGGCCCCCTTAGGGTTTTCAGGCCCCTGAATTAATGGATTAATTAAATTATGGTTATTTTCAATAAATACTGCCTTTGTCCAACAATAGTTTGAGGTTCTGAAGTGTGAACCTGTGGGTACAGCTGGTCCGGGATTCGGTATACTAGGAGTGCCGCCATAAGCTTCTGTTTTAACCTGTTAAGAGAGAAAACGGACACTCATTGTGTGCTCATCTCACTGTTCATGCCCTGTATTTTCGCACTCACGTGTGTGTTGTTTATTTGGTTGATTTTAGCCAGAACCTCTGGGTTGGGCTCACTGAAATTTGGCACCTCTGAGAATATCATACAGAACCTTTGATAGATGCAAGAAGGTACTTATTGCAATCATCATTGTTTCAGAGAACTTAAGTTAAATAAAAGTGTGAAGACCTACTCTCCGATCTTCTGGAGGTCCCCTGTTCTCCCAATATACAGTGTAAGAGATCCTTTGAACAGAGATGCATATCTGAAATCAAATGTGATTTTCTTTAACACGATGAAAATGAACAAACCAAATCTTAAGAGGCTTTATTAAGAGTCGAAGGATGCATTACTATTATTATTAACAGCCAAATAAATTTTGCTCCCACCCTCGATTGAGTTGGATGATGTCACCGGTTTGTATCAAGCTGCCCACCTCGTCCCACACTGATATGGTGATACTCCCGGTCCTGTCAGCCACTTTACATGATCGCACTTCGTGTCCGTCCTTTGTCTTAGATACTCGACCTGGTATATTTTGTTAAAGAAACACAAAAAGGAACACACATAAATGGAAGGCAATTGGCGAAGGCAAATGAGCTTTTCAACTCATTTTCGTTTATTTTTAAAAAAATGTCATATTTTCTTCCCTATTGTGATGTAGGGTAGGTTATATCTGAGTGAAACGAAAGGAAAAACAGGGCAGGACTTGATTTTGTTATTTTTATCAAAGATTATGAGGACACATTAATAAAAAACATAATGTTCACGGATAAATCATTGATAATTGTGCAATATTCCATAAAAAAATAAGAATGTAAAATTTGGTTTCATGGTGACTTGAAACAACACTGAAATTCATTCATTTTAACACAACTCTGTAACTGTGCCTGAAATAGCTTCACACATTTCTTATTTCCTAAATCCCAATAAAAAATGCATGGCAGCTGAGTGCACAATATCAGCCATGTGTGAGCTAATTCGATGTGATTTTCTGAGTCGAGAACATTACGGGTCGATTCAGTCGTGAAAGATTTTTTTCAGAACGCCATTGTGACTCGGCTCAACCGACTCACAGAAAAGATCCAACTAAAAAAAGATTCATTCAAAGATTCACTACTGAAAACAACAATGTTGATTAATAACTTTTTTTTATAGAAGTCAGCACGGACTACAAGAATCGTAAGACATTATACTAATCTTATTTGAATTTATAGGCTACACCAAACGCTTTGCATAGAAACATTTTTAAAAAAGGAGGACAGCAACGCAATCGTAGCCTGCTAGGCCGCGTTTGGTCGTTAGCAAACGTTTCCCACTTCAAATATGACTTACCAGTTTCCAGGACGATGAAAACCAAATTAATATTTTTTAATCCAGGTTTAAGGTCTTTAATCAGACACACACTTTCGTTCAACGGGTTTGCCATGGGAAAAAAAATTAAAGGAAATCCAATTCCGCCAAACTGCCACCTTGGATCACCTAAGATGACCGAAGCCAGGTATTTATAGAAGCTAAGTTACCTGAATGAGATCATATTTTAACGAATGTTATACATAACTTCCCCCTTTAAAACTGAATAAGAACAATTCAGTCTTATTAACATATTAATTAAGGAAAGGGAAAACAAAAGTACTAAATTGTTTACGTTAATTTTCCTGTAAGAATGCAAGTGATTAAATATTCGTGCGTTTTGTGTGGTTTGAAAAGCGCCAAGGAATCGAGTTCTAACGGGAAAAAAAAAAATAAAGAATCGTCACGAACAGGATTCGAACCTGTGCGGGGAAACCCCATTGGATTTCGAGTCCAACGCCTTAACCTCTCGGCCACCGTGACTGCGTAATATGTTCTTGTGAAAAACCTTATATCTACTAGTGGTATTATACCGTCTTATTTGAAGGAATGAATTAATAGATTTTTTTTATCGTATAATAATATAGTTACGTATAAGCATTAATTTCGCTTGTTTCGTTTTCTGCTGTTTTAATTGAGTCACCATAACGCCAGATGGCGCCAGTGCACAAGGAGTTAGGGCGCGTTTTCATTTTGACCACTCTTCACGTTGAAACCTTTGAAACGAAAATAATTACAAAATTGTACATAAGCCAGGCCTCGACATACAATTAGTTCATATGAATGTTCAGGAACAGATAGTTCAAATGCCACACAGTACAGCTCTGACAAGAAAGGTATAAATCAACAATTCACCGTTACCGCACAATGCAGGTAAGAATCATTACGGATATCTTTGTAACCCCACATAAAAGGCACTCTGAAATTTGCTGGATGAGACTTTAGAGTGTGCTGGACTTTTGCATTGTTAATACAAGATCTTTACCAAAAATGTATGCACCTCTTGATCGAAATATTTCCATCTTCCTTGATTTGTCTTCCTACATGGTTGTTTAAGAAATGGAAAGCCAGTATACACTCATATAACATGCTATAAACATAATAATAACTGTAATAATCACTTTTTTTCTTAACCAGCCAATTATACTTCAATATGGCCTATTAAGCATCTAATATGAATGTTTAATGTTTAAGGTGTTCAAAGTCTAGGGTTGAGTCTTTTTGTCAAGTCTTTGAAAGCATAGGCTACTAAAGATTCAAAGGAACAAGATAGACGAAAACGCACGTTTCAAAGTTTTTATTTATTTGCATTATAAGAACAATTTGAGCAGAGCGTGAAACAACTTGGTAAACAGGTGTTGCAGAAACAAGGTCTCTGCTGTAACTGAGCCATTTTCTTTGGCGTGAATCATAATGTTTCTAAAATATAACCAAGACAACATATAGCTCTCGTATATATTATGAAGTCAAGTAACATTTTAAAGAATATGTAAATACAGATTAGGGATTACAAGAATCAGAAAAAATTTTGTTAAAATCTGTTATATGTTAAAGAAGTAAAACCTCATCCCTTTTCATCTGAAAGAGACATCCACCCGAAGCAAAGATACACACTTTTATGTTTTTGTTCAGCACTGGAATACTGAAATGAAAATATGCTGGAAATAAACACACAAAAATCCCACTTGCTCTGATTTATAATAAAAACATATGAGAACCAAACTCTATTCTCATTCTCACAATATCAACAAACCAGACTTGATTGGTCAGTACTGCTCCTCATGCTTTTCTTTATCCGCTGACAGCACTATTTTATTTATGGATTTCTATAATAGCGAGTGGTGATGTGTACACAAAATATCACTTAACTACATTTATTCCAAAGTGATGAGGGGGATTTTTGAATTTGTCCTTGTGTTAATCAGTTCTCACATTTTGAAACTTCAGTACAACAATTCAAATAGACTTTCACTTTTCATACTTTTGCAGTTCTCCACCACTTTCCACACTTCTCTGGCTTATTTGCATGCATCGTCTCCTTCATCACTTTCAGACACATGCCTGTGATCTAGACTGGCTTCACAGCGCCTGTTTCTCAGCCAGCACAATGCCAACAGGATCTTGAGAAATGGCCGTACATCAAAAGCAGGAATGCTTTCTGAGTAAAGGTCCGAGACATATGTGGAGCTCAGGGAAGACCAGGATCCCCCATGTCAGCTGCATTCCAGACGTGTGATCACTCAGGACAGAAAAAGGTTATCTAAATGTTCATTAGTCACTACGAAGCAGAAATCTAGAAATCAGAAATTATATTTGTAGTTTAGTTTAGGACAATACACTAGCTTTCTCACATCTTTTGGTCTCTATGTTTATGGGTTCACAGTACACTTAAAATGTAATATGGAGTACACTTTTTTGATAAATACAGAGATAGAACATGGCATGGCAGTATATTTGTGCTGTATAATCTCTAAAACAAAACCATGGAAGCTTGTTTCCGCTACAGAATCGAATGATTTATAAGATAATTGAGACTTTTTATCTAGCAATTCTGACATTTTTTCACAGAATTGTTAGATATAAACGTACAATTGTGTTTTATACTTAATATCATGCAATTCTGACTTTATAACTCGCAATTGGGAGTTTATATCACGCAACCCTGAGAAAAAAAGGTCAGAAGTGTAAGAACTCAAAATTGTGAGGAATAAAAAGTCAGATTTGTGAGATTAAAAAGTAAAATTACTGTTTTTATGTTTTATTCTGTGGTGCCATCAAGCTTCCATACAAAACCTAATCGGACCAATTATCATGGTTGCATGAAGTCAATATCACAGCTGTGCACAGGCTGTTCCAGATGAAATGAATTGTCGGACTGTGGGTTGAAAACCAGGCTATGGTCAATACGTGTCCATTTGGCGTCCGTTGACTCCTTTGGCTGTAAGCGATTCGACTTTCTCAGTTGACAGGTAGTCACCAGAGGATAACAGAATGTCCAGTAATACCAGCTGGAGTGGGTTTCTCACAAGCATAAGTTTTGGATAAGACGAACTGACATGACTGCTTTCACATTCACTTCTGCTAAAAGACTAGCGACTAACAACAGCGATATGGGATTTTTACGCAAATGTCATTTAGTTCATGAATATTGCCTTTGAATGGACTGTAAGTCTGTTTTTTGGGAGGACAGGCCAGATGTCTGGGTTCTTGATGGGGATGGCTGGCACTGATAAGGGAGAGAGTGTTTTCTCAGCTTAGGAGGGTGTCCTAGGGCTGGAATGGGGGGTCGGGACATTAGGATGCTTGTCCTACAGCAACACCCTCTGCTTGGCCTGCAGCTTCAGCTAGAGGGCTGTCTTCACTGTGCACTCTTTCCTTTCCCTTTTCTTCCTCTCCTTCCTCTTCATCCTCTTCCTGTAAAGCACTGTGGGACACCACTATCTTGGAGGCGTCCTGGGGCAGGGTCGCAGAGAGAGCATACTCCTCGCTCACATCTTCTGTGATCGACAGCTGAACCTCTGTTGTGCCATTCAGAATGCTGGGCACCTCATCTTTCTCCATTGCCTCCACAGCTGCCTTTACTTCCTCCTGTCCTGGTGCAAGATGGGAGTGAACCTCTTTGAAGGACAGGTCTTCAGTTGGGCTCTCAATAGGGGCCAGTTCGATGGGGGTAATAGCACTTGGCGAGCTCTCTGGTTGAGGTGAGTCCTCAGTCTCGGGTTGCCCTTCCCCATTGCGGTTCTTCTTGATGTTGAAGGTTAGAGGAGAGACCTTGAAAGAGGTGTTCTTTGCACTAGGGCTCTTCTGGTGGTTGGGTGTCAGACTTTTCTTGATTTTATCCCGCTTCTCTTGGGACACAATCTTGTTCATCTTCTTCTCAATGTTCTGCCTGGAGAAAGCCTTCTTCAGGCTGTCCACTTTCTTCAGACTGGAACGCTTGATCTTCTCAGCTCGAGATTTTTCAACTCTGGTTTCAGCTTCGAGATCCAAAACCCTCAAAATGTCATCCTCATCCTCTTCTGGTCCCTGCTCCTCATCTGAGGAGAGAGCGATGGTCTGAAGGCCCTCCTCTTGAGAACGGTTGGCATCAGTGGCTGGGGTGTCCTCTTCCACTTCAGGTAACGGTGCAGGTTCATTCACAAAGACACTTGAAGGGATTTCATTTTCCTCCTGCACAACAACAACAACAAAAAAAAGAATAAATTATACAGTTCTGCCTATTTACAGCTTATTTTCACACCACACATAATTGTTCTTAATACAAAGTTCTGCCAATTTTAATGCTATGAAAAAGTTTTCATTGCTAAAGCCATTTATTGTAATACGGTTTCCCCACAGAGGAATCCAGTGCCGAATTAGCTGCCTGCAAGATTTGTATTTGGTTCCTTGGCAACCGGACTCTAAGAATGCGCATGATACAGCTGTCATGTGTTTGTGGGAGATAGCTTCAATAGTTTCTACATAACATCATTCTCTATTAATGTCTTTAATTTTAGGTCTTCTTTTTAATCAGGATTTTAGACCAGGGTAAAAGTGGTTAAAAAGGCTTAGATAAAGTCTGTAACTTAGTAGCAAATTAAATGAATCTGACAAATGGCTTAAAATAAACATAAAACCTCTGAAACCTATCTGAAAATCTGTGTATTGGCCAGATCAAAATCACTGTGAAAAGTCTTCTTAAAGGAGTAGTTCACTTAAAAAAAAAACTTTTGCTGATAATTTACTCACCCCCATGTCATCCAAGATATCCATGTAATTCTTTCTTCAACTGAAAATAAATTAAGGTTTTTGATGAAAACATTCCAGGATTTTTCTCCATATAATGGACTTCAATGGGAACCAAACGGTTCAAGGTCCAAAAGACACTTTCAGTACAAACTGTTTAAAGGCTTTAAACGATTTCAGACGACGAATAAGGGTCTTATCAAGCGAAACGATCGCTCATTTAAAAAAACAAAACAACAAACAAAGTTTAAGTTTTATAAGCTAAAATGGTCACCTTGCTCTGTTCTGTGATGCGCGTTCGTGACTCTCCTGTTCAAACTCAAAATGAACAAATCTTTTCCCGAGTCAACTCGTTCATTTTGTTCGTTGAATGAACCAAATGACACAAAAAAGATTCGTTCATTTTGATAAACGAGTTCGAACAGGAGAGTCACGAACGTGCATCACAGAACAGAGCAAGGCGAACATTTGAGCTTATAAAACTTAAACGTTGTTTTTGTTTTAAATGAGCGATTGTTTCGCTTGATAACACCCTTATTCATCGTCTGGAATCGTTTGAAGCCGTTTGAACAGTTTGCACTGAAACTTTCATTTGGAACTTGAACCGTTTGGTTCCCATTGAAGTCCATTATTTGGAGAAAAATCCTGGAATGTTTTCATCAAAAACCTTAATTTCTTTTCGACTGGAGAAGGAATGTTATCTTGGATGACATGGGGGTGAGTAAATTATCAGTAAAAAAAAAGTGAACTACTCCTTTAAAATGTACAACAGGACAGCCTTTCTGGACAAACATTTCTAGGGTTTTGTCTGTGGCTTTACAGCAGCCATTATGAAGAGGTTTGAACAGTTGAACACACTTTTTACTCTTAAAAGTATATTGCCAAAGAAATGTTCCTCGTCAACACACCGTGACCTTTTATCACAGTTTCAAGTATTTGTCTTTTAAAAGATGATGCAGTGTCGAAAATCTTCAAGCTGATTCTGCTCAGCTTGTAATATGAAGTACTATAGAGTATTGATGTGTAGTGTGGATATACATTCCTTTAAATGACACAAGGGGACAAGAACATTTGGTGTGAAAAACATTGTGTACAAACCCTCTTTTCCCTGCTGGAGACAATCATAAAGGCTGAAGAATAGTGAGACGATTGGAAAGGAAGGCCAGGCATGACCCTACACAGCTCATATCAGAGTTTCCACTGAGTTTTGGAGGACAGCCAGTACAGAAAGAGAGCGAGAGTTGGGCAATTGGAAAGAGAGAGAGAGAGAGAACAGAAAGCAGGGAAGTCTGGTGTAGAGCTTTGGAAGGGAGTATAGGATGAGAGTCAGGAAGCATTTGAGGTGGAGTGCAGCAATAGGGACACCTGGAGAGAAGCCATGTTTGCCCCCCACCCATCAAAATGTTCCATGGCATGTCAGAAATGTGAAGGAGAGCCTGGGAGCCTCGCTATCTTCGCGATAAGACTCTAAATTCTGATACGGATGAGGCCACGTCACACAGGAAACCTCCCAGTTAATCAATTTAACAGCACTGTTTTCGTTCAGTCTGAAATGTAAGCTCACACAAATGTTCTGCATGTATAAATGTACTGTGAAGGCAGATACCCCTTGTTTTTGGGCATACAGTACATGTATATATGCTTTAAAAGGACATGAAACTACATTTTGAAGCAAGATTTTAACAGAAGGCTGTGTTGCACACAAGCGGCAACATTCTAATCTGAAAAATGAAGCCTACCCAGAAGTGCGAAAAACTGCAATACATCTAAAATCTGCTAGAGGCCGGTCCCAAAAGGGAGCAAATATCCATAGATTTCATGTTAAAATGTCCGTTTTCACAGCATAAATTCATATCTTTGGTCCCATGGACTTTTATTGTATTTTTCGGTAGGTTCTTCCTAGTGCCTGACAACTGTGAGGGGGGTGAATTGTTTTCTAACTCGTTAGTTTAGATCGTGTTTACATACAAAATGTAAAATACAAAAATCTCGGCCATGATCTGACACAACACATCATACCATCTCTGTATCCTTTCTGAACATTTGTATTTTGTATTTCCCAAGATTTTCCAGTATGGCGCCGCCCATACCCCCATAAACAGCCTCAAAACTGTTCTTCAGAAAGTCTATGGGTGACGTCACAGATGCTTTGTCCATATTTTTTCCAGTATATGGTTGCACATCATAGAAAAGAATGTTACCACACCATCGACTAGTTTTAAAGGGTTAGTTCACCCAAAAATTCTGTCAGTATTTACTCACCCTCATGTTGTTCCAACCCCGTAAGACCTTCGTTCATCTTCGGAACACAAATTAAGATATTTAAGATATTAAGATCGCTCCTGCATACTAGTCCATAGGCTTCTTCAGGGAATGACTTGCTGTCCTCGAAAAGTCATTAAAGACATCGTTAAAATAGTCCAAGTGACTACAGGGGCTCAATCTTAAGTTTATCAAACGACGAGAACACTTTTGTGCGCAAAAAAAACAACAAAAATAACGACTTTATTTCAACTATTCGTTTATTTCTCCCTCTGCCTCGAGTCAGGTTACTAGTTTAATAGCGTAAGCTTCTGTTATTGTACGTCACACGCATCACACACATCACACACGACTAGCGTCGGCCAATAGTGAGCCTACGTGTGACGTAGCTTTACGCAATCACACTACGTTAACTGACTACAGGCCCATGGAGAAGGAAGTGAATAGTTGAAATAAAGTCGTTATTTTTGTTTGTTTTTGCGCACAAAAAGTATTCTCGTCGTTTGATAAAGTTAAAATTGAGCCACTGTAGTCACTTGGACTATTTTAACGATGTCTTTAATGACTTTTCGAGGACAGCAAGTCATTCCCTCAAGAAGCCTATGGACTAGTATGCAGGAGTGATCTTAATATCTTAAATATCTTAATTTGTGTTCCGAAGATGAACGAAGGTCTTACGGGGTTGGAACAACATGAGGGTGAGTAAATACTGACAGAATTTTCATTTTTGGGTGAACTAACCCTTTAATTTTAGGAGAAAACTGGTTCATTTGAAGCTGTTTGAATCAGATGCTCTTCCCTCTCCACTCGTAGCATACCATGCCCACTTTTGGTGCATTTTTCAAAAAATTGTGGTGAGAACTAACAGGTGCTAAAACAGTGTTTTATTTACCCTTTAAAGGGTAGTTTATGCAGGAATCAGGTCTTTTTAAAAGTTTTCCTGTGTAAACATACTAATTTTTCAGTAGAAATGGCATAAGTTAATTGACATTTATTTAAATGATCAGTATGTCTCTCATTTGCTCCATCAAAGGCTCCGTTTTATTCTTTCTGTGAACCCCCAAACCACACAGAAGTGAGGTATCATCACTATCATGATATCAGGATATACATATATCAGGATCAGGATATATCTAAACTCTCTTAAAAAGGCGAAGAGATGAAGGAATCTTAGTGGACAGAATGTTACGTAAACATTGAATTCGAACCTGCCTTGATTCCTCTTATCTGTTTATACTGCCTGCATAGAGCCTTAATGTTCACATCTGCTTTTCTAACATGATAGAAAGGTTGTGTTCCCCTCTGAACCCCCTGTTGTAACTCTGGCCTCTGAAGCTCTCTGTGTGTGAGGGAATGCGAGTATGGCCTGTCAAAGTAGTGGGAGAGATTTGACCTAACAGAAGAGAACCAACAGAAAGGATACATAATGACTGACGGTAATCCCTGTGGATATATGGAACATGCTAAATCAGGGGTGAAATACCGCTTTTGGGATTTAGTAGATCTGTCCACCCACGAAAAGAGCTTTACTTTGGAAGGCGAATATGGATCAAAGGTATTGGTATGATGTTGCTGGCACAGTTTGGGAATGAATTTGGCGGAGTCCCTGCAATTTTTAAAATGGAATTTCCATGTTCCATCATTCTCTCCTCAGAGTTACCACAGCAATTAGTCAGAGTTAAAAACATAGTAGAAAACAGTGTGACATAACATTGGCTGAAATCTTATAGGGTTGGATATAGGTTTTGTATTGTTTTTCTTTTCTTTTCTGTTGTGATAGGGTTGTAAGTGGTGTTTTTTTTGGTGAAGAGTAGCTAGTTTTAGGAGTAACTAATAGCATGTGTTTAAAAATAAACATCAAGAAAAAGATGAAGAGATGCCAAATGATAAGATTTTGTGAATCAGAAAGAAGAATTAAATGCTTCACTTTAGAATTTTAGAAGGAGATCTTGTGAACAAAATGAGCTGTAAAAATAAAAGAACAGATATACCGTCTTGTATAACAGTGATAATGCCTGTGCTGTGATATTTGGCATGCAAGATTTTCTTTTCAGCTCCAACTGACCATGAATTAGATAATAATGAATGCAATTCATTTATAGCACCAAGTTAAAATTGTAACCATAACAAACATGTTTTCTTCCTTCAGGGTCATACTTACAAATATTAGTATTACACTGTTG